GTGAATGGTTTGTTTGAGAGGTGTTCCAGGCCACACCAGCAGGGGAGCAGGGAAGCAAGGCAGGGAATAGAGAACAGCCAGTACTGAGTACCTCGTAGGGGAGGTAAGGGCTCTAGGCTGCTGGGGTCCAATCCCATGTCTACACACCTCTGAGTTGTCCCACCCAAGGGAGAGGGGACTGGGATTGTCCCCAACCAGCTCCCACCCATGGGTGTTTCAAAGCTCTAGGCATTGTAGTCAGCCCACATTTCAGCAAGAGGAAGGATCTCAGGGGCTGAGAGGAAAGCTATTGCACAAACTTGGAACAGTAACAACCTACCCTGATAAACTTGCTACTTCAAGTAATTGTCCTCAGCACCCTGCTCATGTCATATCATTAGGGTTCTCTGCAACTGCAGATACTACATTTCTCTATAACTATAGATACTATGATTGTCCACATTCTATAGATAAAGAAACTGTAGCTCGGAGCAGATCAGCAACTTCCCCAAATTGTCACAGCCAGGAAGGGGTAGTGTCAGGCTTTGAACCCAGATTCCTTCTCCGTACTCTCCTGACCCCATTTTCCTTTTGGGAGGAGAGGTGCTGGATTCCAGCAAATCTGGGCTTCTAGATATCTCTCATTTGGGAAGTAGAAGGTGTCCTCCTCATGTAGCACTTCTGGAGTGCTGGCATGTGCTTGCTGAGAACCCACATTCCCAGCACAGACCGAATCAGAACCTTGGAAGGTGAGCCTGGGGGATCTGATGGGGAAGCAGGTGGTCGATCTTTGCAGTGTGTGGTGCGAGCTTTCTTTTCTATGGGCGGTGAAAGAAAAAGTCTAATTTGAGTGGAATCCTGTGTGTTTCCTGCTGGAAAAACAATTCTTCGTAAGTGGGGCATGGTGTGTCTGCATCGTACGAAAGCCTCCTCTCCATCCCTCTTCCCCTCCCCTCCAGGGTCTGTGTAATTTCAGCCCTGGGCTAACCCTGCCAACTCAATTAGCCGATCCTGGACACGCGGCGCTAGTTCTTGACGGATGAGCCTCTGTGCAAAGGGTTAAGTGTCTTAGTGTAAAAGCCAGTTCTCTGGGCTTTTCTCCGTGAACAGTGGCTGTGCCCCTGTCCCCAGTGCTGATGCCCCTGTCCCCAGCCCTTTGAAGTGCTGGCTGGAAGGACAAGCGTTCCATCTCCCACCCTTTGGCCAGAGATGAAGGAAGGCTTTTCCGTAAGTGCAAAATACAAGCAACAAGGGACACTAGAGAGGAAAATGCCAGGGGGAGGCAGGAGATGACCGAGGTCATAGGAGAGGCCACACCTGCCCCGACCTGGTTTGGGCATGGTCCAGAGGTTGTGTGAAATTGCCTGTCCCTGCTTGAGAATGCTGCCCACGAGAGTGAACAGGCTTCCTCACATCTGCACGTCACCATTCCAGCTGGGCTTGTTTGGGAAGACTCGTAGGCGGGAGAGGCAGAAAGGAAACATTTCTTTCTGGAAGCTTCCAGGGTGGAATCAAGCCATTTCAAACAAGAATGAGTGCAGAAACTTCTTGGTTCCTTCTCAGTTTGACATCAGCAGATTCCCCAACTCAGGGCTTCCCAAACATCAGTCTGACCTGACACAGTTGTCACAAGCCTCCAGTGGCTTCTTAGGGTGTGCACGATCAAATACAGGCTCCTTGCCAGGGTTGCCGGGGCCCTGTCCATGCCTCCTCCCCTCCCTTGTGTCTTTATTCACCCTTTACCCTCTGACCCCTGAATCCACCAAGCTCGTTCCTGTCCCCAAACTTTTGCACTGGCTGGAAGCCCTTCCCTTCTCACTCTCCTACTCTCCATCCTGTTTCCCTTATTTTTTCCCTCCATCTTCCCACACCTGCAATGATCTGATCTTTGTTTAGGTGTGTTTTATCCCTCCCCATAAAGATAGCGGCTTTGTCTGCCCTGTCCCTTGCCTGTGTGTCCCCAGGACCTGGAGCCCAGTAGGTGCAATTAAGTATTTGCAGAATGAGAGGCTGGTTGTACATTCAGCAGAGCTTCCTGTTAGGGTTTGGATGCAATGCCCTTGACCTCCCTGGGGGCTGGGACCTTCCCTGTAGGTCTGAGAGTCTGGGAGCTTTAGAAATGAAAAAGACAGAGATGCCTGGGTAGCTCAGTCAGTTGAGCGTCTGCCTACACTCAGGTCATGAGCCCAGGGTCCAGAGATCAAGCCCCTACATCAAGCCCCTGCATCAGGCTCCCTCCTCAGTGGGGAGTCTGCTTCTCCCCCTCCCCCACCTTTTGCTGCCCCTGTTCCTGCTCTCCTCTCTCTCTCTCAAATAAAATCTTAGAAAAAAGAAAAAGACAAATCAACAGTAAGGTTGGACTTTTACTATCCTTGTGGAGTCAGGCTGCTGTAGGGGGAAGAGCAAGATGACATCTTCGGCTTATCTCAAAGGAGGCCCTTTTGATTTTGCTGGTTACAGATCCCAGGAAGCTTCCTGTTTATGGAGGTTTTGGAGGCATCTGCATGCTGGTTAGAGCTGGGCTTGGCATCTCTGTCTCTTCCTGGCTATTTGACCTTTGGCAAGTTATCCAAATTTGCTGAGCCTCAGTTTTTCACTCTGTAAAATGGGGATAACGATAGTTGCTGCTTTTTAGGATTGTTACAAGGATGATATAAATTGTGTAAAGCCCGGGGGCATTGCCTGGTATTTCACAAGCACTGAGCAAATGATAGCTCTTCTTCTTCTCTGAGTCACAGCATCTTTGTGACATTCGTGACCGATAGTACCCCTTAATGTTTTTCAACCACCTTAGGCTTTTGAGTGCCAAGCGCTGCCCCCTCTTTCTGACAGTTACAAATTATGTAAACCAACTTGTCCCAATCTAGTTCAATCATTTACACACCACCCTGTCGTGATTTTGTTATATTTGTGTAGCAGTCTCATTTTTATTTATTTACCATTTATGGCTTTTTTAGCTTACATAAATTTATTTAAAGATGAAAATGCATTTTATGACCATGAGTGGAAAATCCATTAATATAAGGCAACCAGGGGAAAAAAAAAGACATCAGGTGGAAAAACAAATTTAAATTTTCTGTTGATACTGTCACCCATCTGAATCTAGGACTGTGGTTAGCATGTGGTAGAGAAATGTAAAGATGTGTTAGCAGCAGAAACCTTCTCCTGGCTGCAAAGTGAAGGGGATTTGGAGACTGCCTAATAATGTTTTTGCCGTATGATTCATGCTAGCACTGTTCCATGCTGCCCGCGTCCCTCCTTGCTGCCCCTCTGCACTCCTGGGGGTCTCACGTCTAATTTTTCCACCATGGAGAGGAATCCAGTGAGTACCCAGTTAGGGCCACAAAAGACTGAAAACAAGAAAAATTGGAGAAACGTGCATAGGCTTTCCAAAACAATCAACTAGACCAATGGTTCTCACACCTCAGCATGTATCAGACTCAGGTGGAGGGCTTATTAAAACAGGTTACTGCATTTCAGCTTCAAGTCTTGGATTCATCACATCTGGGGTGGGGGCCCAGGAGTTGCATTCCTGGAAAGTCCCCAGACCACCGGTGCTGATGTTGCTGGTCCTGGGGCTCCACTTTGAGAACTACTGAGCTAGATGAGTCAAAGTTGAGTCTATGACTGGGTGTTCAGATCATTCTGTTAGAGAGAACTATCAGATTTCTAGAGGGCAAGAAGGTAAGAGCAAATCTCAAGCTCCCACCTCTCTGTAGAGAGTTTTTAAATATGAAACCTCTAAGCAGGCTGCAGGTGCCTTCTGGCAGAGATGCTGGCTGCTGCAAGTTAGGCTGGCACGCACAAAAATTGTAAGGGAATTCAAAGGGATGCAGGCACCGATAGCATCTGCCACAGTGTGTATTCCTCCTACTGACAAAAACTCTAAAGACAAAGCCAGATCACAATTAGTTGGGGTTTTTATTATCCTTTGGAAGCCTGGCAACTCTTTAGGGAAGAGCAAGGTGGCATTGTCTCAAAGGAGGACATTGTGACTCTAAACTCTTCCTACCTCTAAAACGGAATACCTGTCACTAATCTCATCCTAAATGGAAGCCTTGGTTAGCTGGTTCCTGTTGCTTGAGCCTTTCAGAAAAAGGAGAGACCACCATTGGCACCACTCACCCAAGTTTTCTGCCAGGAAAGCTCAGTTAATCTGTGTTTCCATCTGTAAAATGGGAATGATAATAGTATCCATTGTGTAAGGCTATTGTACAGATCCAATAACATAGTATATGTAATACGTTTAGTTCAATGGCTGGCAGATGAGTCTATAAGTAAACAATGGATGATTATTAGGATTGGATGATTAAAAAAAAAGACTGGATGATGATTATGATGATGATAAAGATAAAAAACACAGACTGGGGAGGGCGTGGGTGGCTCAGTTGGTTAAGCACCCAGCTCTTCATTTCAGCACAGGTCATGATTTCAGGGGCGTAAGGTTGAGCCCTGTGTTGGGCTCCAAGCTGGGCCTGGAGCCTGCTTAAGATTCTCTCTCTCTCTCCCTCTGCCCCTCACCCCACCCCCCTGCTCTCAGCTCTCTCTCTCTCTCTAAAACAAAAAAGGAAAAAAAATACAGACTGAAAGGGGAAAATATCTTTCAAAGCATAAAACCTAAGTGGACACTGCTGGTGAAAGAGTTGCTATACATCTTGGACCACTTGGGTCTGACCTGTGAGAATGGAATGACAATAGACTTTCTCCAGAGTTAATTTCCTAGGTGCCAAGGAGGTGTTTTAGCTACCCCATTTCATCTCCACAGCTTCCAGAGCTTTCTGAACCACCAGGGCATCCCATCCATCCATCCATCCATCCATCCACCCACCCACCCACCCATCCCTCCACCCACCTGTCCATTCTTCCATCCCTCTATCCATCCACCCACCTATCCATCTATCCACCCACTCATTCCTCCACTCATCCATCCACCCACCCACCCATCCATCCACTCATCCATCCATCCATCCATCCATCCATCCATCCATCCATCCTTACTTCCTTCTCTGTCTTTCCCGCAGGTTAAAGTGCCACAACAAATGCACCAAAGAAGCCCCTCCCTGTCATCTCCTGATCATCCACCGAGGAGGTAAGTATTTAACACTTGCTGCCCTAGGGGTAAGTAGGGTGGAGCAGGGGCTCCTGCAGACCCTCTGATATAGCTGTCCCATCCAGGCCATTTCTGGGTACCTCTTAATCCCCTGATACTTGCCTAATTGTTTTCCCTTTGACACTCTTCTTCCTGCATCTGTCTCCTTCCTCCATCTCCTGACCCCATTCTCCCTATTCCTTGCCCCTCTGCTGGTCTCACTGATACTTTAGCCCCCAGACTCGTCTCCCCCTTCCTAAGTCTTTTTCTTTCATTCTTGTCTACTCTCCTAATTTCCACTCTCCTCTCTTTCCCCCAATCTCATTGCTGTTACTTCACATTTAAAAAGAGTCTGGCTGAGTGTTCCCCATGATGGGCTCATCAGACTCAATCACCGGGCCTTGCAGAGGTGGGCGTGGGGAGGAGTTGGGCTTGGGTCTGTGGGTTTGGGCCATCTGTGTTCTGTCCCTGGGGGCTCTGGGAGTGTCAGGGCCAAACTGTCCAAGCAGGGAACCAACAGCTACCCTTGGGAGACTCAAGGACTCAATGGGAAGCCTTTCCTCATGAAACCTGGCAGTTCAGCTTTCAAAATAGTTCCCCTGACTCTTGTCTCATAGGGTGTTTATCTCTGACCTTATTGTCTACATTGCAATTCATTTACCACAGGACTCTCAAGGCCTGTGCTCTTTAATACAGTAGCTGCTAGCCACATCTATTTAAACTTAGCTTGATTTAAATGAAATTAAAGCAAAAATTCAATTACTCTGTCACATCAGCCACATTTCAAGGGCACAGTAGCCACAGGTGGCTACCATATTGGGTAGTGCAGATAACAAACACTTTCCTCATGGCAGAAAGTTCTATTGGGTATCACTGGTCCTGACCTTTGCTATTCAAAGTGCAGTCTGTGGATTGGCAACATGGGAATCCCCTGGGAGCACTTTAGAAATGCACAGTTTCTGGCCCAATCTCAGACCTACTGAAGCAGAATCTGCATATTTTTAACTGCCTCTGCGAATGGTTCCCTTGCCCCTTAAAGTTAAGAAGCAAAGCTCTAGAGTAGAAGTTGCAAACTCGGATGCCTACCAGGGCTAAGCAAGGATCCAAAATGAGAGAAGGGGGCCAGATGGGGCCATGGAAAGTGGAGAGGGAACCCAGGCACTGTCTAGAGAGGACAGTCACTCCAGCAACGATGGAAGCCATCTGCACCTGCTCTGCATTTTTCTCATGGTTCAAAGGAAAGTCCAGATAGTTGTATTAAGATGCTAACAACTTATTAAAAGTTTTAAAATTTTTGCTGGCCAATTCCCCGTCACCCCATCTGTAGGTTGGATGGAGCCATGGAGTCGATGTTGCAATATGCAACCTGCTGATCTGAGACAGAGTCCCTCCTCATCCCTGCTGTGTCCCTCGCAGCTCCCCTGGCCTAGGCTCTGAGGAATCTGCCCTGTTTTAGAATGAACCCAAGGGAAATGTAAAGCCTTTTTGACAATTGGTGCCAAAAGTCCTAGGATATGTTCCGAAGCCGATGGGCCATTGGTTTTCAATGATCTTTGCATTGCTTATCTCCACAAGGAGAGGAAATTGCAAATAAGGAAAAGTCATCGGCCCTCTTGCCCCTTTCCACCCACATCCTTAATTAAGAACCATCTGTTCCTTGCACAACTTTATACAGTCAACGAGGCCATTTTAAAACCTGAATTCTCACAACTCTTGAACCCTTGAGTCAGGTTCATTGGGGAAATTCCTCTCCATAGTGGACTCTGCTGGAGCCCAACTCCCATGTGGAGACCAGAACCAGCCTGCTGCAAGGTGACCCACTCTCAGAGGCTGACATCTAAAGAGGGGCTCCCTCTGCTTGTCCACCCACCTTCCTGGACATGTCCCCTTCACCCAAAGGCAGCAGGTGCCTGTACAGGCGAAAGCAATGGCTCTTTCCAGAAGTCCACCAGCTTCTTGCTTCCCCTTCGCCCTCCACCCTTGTTGATAGGAAGTTTAAAATATAGTTGGTTTCCATGGAGATGGTAACTCAGGCTAAACAGAGAAATCCCTGGGTCAGTGCAAAGCTTTAACTTTTCCACTAACACCCCAGTCCCACTCTCCCCCGCAAAAAAAACAGCTAATGAGTAACACTGCCAGGCATGGAATTTGAATTTGAGCTTCTCAATGTACCCCTCCCTGTTGTCCTGATAAGATAATAACAGAGGAGTAACAGGAAGAGGAGCTTGGATGATGTGTTTGGATCAGGAAGCATTTATTTAGCATTAGCTATGAGCCCAGCTTTTTGTGTGGCTTCAGGGATGGCACTGAGAGGAGGTCTGGAAATACTAAGCCTTCCCTTCAGGAGCCCAGTGGTTGAACAGCCTGAAAAATCCCACAAGCAGTGATGGAAGATCCCAACACAAGAGTTCGATGGGGGCTGGGGAAAGGTGGTCATTCTGAACTTGTCCATTGACTGCAGACCTTAAGGAATCAAGAGGAACCTCTTGTATTTCAAGGGAGAGTCAAGTCTGATTTGAATGCCAGTGTGAAACAATTATGGTATTGAAAACAGCCGGATAGCTTCAGTGTTATGAAAATTTCTAATTGACCAGTCATTTGTTGAGAATATAAAAATTTTAGAATGCACGGAGAACACTGGATCTTACTACCATGACACAAGGGCTATCATTTTTAGAGAATTCCCTTTCTGTCCTGGGACGGGGTGGGGAGACCGTCGGGGTAGGGTCCCAGCTCTGTTCTCCTGGCATAACCGTATAAAATCAAAGTAGTACTTAAACTCCCAAATTGCTGTTTTTACCCCTACGGATCCAGCAAGGTTAGTCCGAACAGAGTCCGTCCCATGTGACATCAACAACCCTCTACGAAAGCCACCCCGGTATTCGGACCTGCACATCAGTCAGACGCTCCCCAAAACCAACAAAATCAGCAAGGTGAGGCTGGGGTCCTGCTGGGTTGGGGCATGCTGGGGCTGAGGCTGCCCACTGCCTGGGAGGGGCAGGAAGACGGGGTGGGGGAGCTTGCATGGCTGGCTCTGGGATCCTTTGCCTCCCAGTCCACTTGGGGTGTCCTAGTTCTGTGTTGTTTGTGTCAAGCTAAGCTTGGGGGACATCCAGACATCACAGGAAGAGTCAGTGTGCCAGAAATCTGTCTAATTTAGAGAGAGGGCACATAAAAGTGAGAATGAATGAGTCTTTCATGGAGGGACAGTGGGGATATAGCAGGAGAGCCTGAGTAGATTCCTTAGTGGACCAGATCTGCCCTCTTTGCTCTGTGAGATGTTTTGCCATCTGCCATGATGAACTTCGCAGATGGTTCTGGGCTGACACATCTTTTGAATCGGACCACCGAGGGATGGGGCATCTATTTCTGAGCTCCTGCTGGAGGCTCAGTGATGGATACGGGCTGGAGGGGGCCCAAAGCTCTGAGCCTCAGCCAGTTTGGTTGGCTTGTGGCTGGTCCTCACATGGTGGTCAGCAGTGAGCTTCTCTGTGCATCTTTCTCTCCACCATGGCGTGGAAATTTCCGGGGTGATTTCCACATCCTGTGTTTGGTCTATTGGTCAGACAACACCAGAACTATCCCGGGGAGACTTGCAGCCTACTGTGACAGTAGGAGGCAAAGGCTGCACATGCCAACAGGTGATTTCTCAAAGTCTCTAGTGCTTTCATGTATTGTGTCGAAGGTGGGTAAAGTGTAGATCAACTCAAGCATGTGGGAAGTCACCACCTGTGTTCAGGACCCAGGTGAGCATCACAATGGCTGAGTGACCTCTCCCTGGCAAGGTTCAATCTTGCTTCTCTGCATAAGGCTGGAGAGAGCATTGCCCCCTCCCCAACCCACCCTCCACGTAGTAGCCAGAGTGATTCCTAATGAACATTATTTGAATCCCGTCCCCCTCTGCTTAAAAACCATCCAGTGGCTTTCTACTGCATTTGGAAAACAGATCAAGCTCCTTACTGCAGCCTGCAAGGCCCTGCGTAATCTGGGCCCTCCCCCCATCCCTGATCACTCTTTGCATGCCTCCCCACCAAAGCACATATGTTCTTTCTCTCATGCACTATCACCCACCGTTTTTACTACTGGCTCTCAGCCATTCACCATCTGGCTCCTTGTGGCATCATCTCAGCAGTAGAGAGCTTGGCCTCTGCAGTCAGGCAAACCTTGACATCAACCTTGGCTTTTCCTACTTATTAGCAGTGAGACTCTGGGCAAGCCATTCATCTTTCTTGGCTTCAGTTTTCCTGTATGTGAAATGGGTATGTTCTGGTTATCCACCACTGCACGACAAAGTACCTCAAACTTTTGGTGTACCACAGCCTTTTCATTATGCTCATGGAGTCTGTGGGTCAGGAATTAGGTCAGGGTATAGTGGGTCTGGTTGAGCTCTGCTCCATGATGTTCAGGGAACATCAACAGGGAAAACTCACACCGCTGGGGGCTAGATTCTTCTAGAACAGAGATTGGCAAACTGTGGCTTATAGGCCTGACCAGCTCAGTACCTGCACCCACTTTTGTGACTAAAGTTATATTGGAATGAGCCACACCCATATTGTCTATGGCTGCTTTCACACTACAATTGGGAATTGAGTGGTTCTAATAGAGATACATGGTTCACAAAGCCTAAAATATTTACTATTTGGTCATGTCAAGAAAAAAAGTTTGCCAACCCCTGATCTAGAGCCTTCTTCACTCACCTGTGTGGTGTCTGGACTGGGAGTGCACGGGGCAGGGTTCAGCAGAGACTCAGTGGGAGCATCTACACGTGGACTTGCCTTTTGGTTTGGGCTTCCTCAGAATATAGCAGTTTCAGGGTAGTTGGGTCTCTTACAAGGCCAGTCAGGGCTCAAAGAGCAAGTGTTTTAGCCAACAAGGTGAAAGTTGCATGGACTTTTATAACCTAGCATTATAAAAGCCAGTGCATTGTCTTGATTTGTCACTAGCCAAGGGTTGGTATATGTATACTGTACTGATAGAGGCTTTCATGCTCCTACTCAGATTCAAGGGAAAGAGGGAGGCATAGATCCCACCTGTCAATGGGAGGAGTCCAAGGAGTTTGAGGCCATGTTTTAAAGTGCCCATGGCGGGGGCACCTGGGTGGCTCAGTTGGTTAAGCATCTGCCCTTTTAGCTCAGGTCCTGATCCCAGGGTCCTGGGATCAAGCCCCACATCAAGCTTCCTCCTCATCGGAAAGTCTGCTTATTTCTCCCTCTGTCTCCCTCTGTCTTTCCCCTGCTTGTAGTCTGTCTCTCTCTCTCTCTCTCTCTCTTTAAATAAATAAAATCATTAAAAAATAAAAAAGTATTCATGGTGGCTAATAAGAGCGTCAACCTCAGAGAGTTGTTTTGGGAATGAAATGAGATAATTAACGTAAAAGCACTTAATATGGTTCCTGGCACATGGTAAGTGCCCAGGAAATTCTAGATACCACTATCAGATTCAATGTTGGGCTTCCAATCCAAATGTCAGGCTGGGTCCACTTTTTCTTTGTTATTTGCAAAAGATACATAGATGTCTCTAGAAGAAGGGATCCCCACCTCTGGGGGTGTTTAGGGGGCTCAAATTGTACAGCTCCTGAGAAGTAACTGTGTGTGTCTATAACCCTTTCTTTTCTTTGTGACATCTTAAGGGGTGGGTTGCTCAGAGCCATCTCGAGACCTTCCCCTCTGGCTTTGCCGGCACAGTGAGCCTCTCAATCAGATGGGACAGAAACACAGGTCAGATAGATCAGTGACTATGACATGGTTCTGCTTGTCTGCCAGCAGGAGAATTTGATAAGAGAAATAAATTAACCTCTATTTAGAAAGCAGCTTTGACTTGAAGGTGGACAGGATCTATCACAGGGCTGGGTTATTTTTTCCTCTCTTTCTCTTCTCACTGGCTTCACACAGATTCTTTTTGTCAGGCAATGATGTGGTTAGTGCAATAGATTTCTGAGCCAATTTGGTCTGAAGACTTCCTTTTCATTGCTCTGTCTCCTCTCCTGTCTGGCTCAGTCAGTCCAGGTTCACGAAAAGCCTTAGCTTTTCTCCCAACAGAATAGTTAAAGAGGGTGCATTTGGGAGTTAGAAAGGCCTGGGCTTGGAACTTTGTTCCTTCACCTGAGTGGTCACAGCAAGCTCTCTCTGCCTTGGTGTCCCCCCCTTCCCAACCCAATCCCCATAAAAGGGACAATACGATAGCAGACGTGATTGGGATTGTGGAAAGGATTAGATGCAATGACACGTGTGAAGGGTTTAGTCCACCACTGGATACTCAGTAACAAAGAGACAGAATGGGGAGGGGAACAGGAACAGGAGGGGGGGGGGACAGCAGCATCTGCCAGCAACTCAGGGGCCAGTCTACAACACTTACGCTTCCACATCAAGGCATCAAAACCCCATGTGCAGTGGTGTCCAAGGCTGAAGACCTGCCTGCTCCGGTGCTGCTATTTGAGACAGCTGCATGCAGGCATGCCCTTTCCAATTGGTCTTGCGCTGGGGCCAGCTCCCTGGACCTGCCACAAGACCATGGATCATTATCCTGTTCTTCCATCAGAACCATGACTCAGCTACTCTTTGTGGGTCTGCTCTAAGCTGTTACTGTTGACTGGTTTCCTCATCCTCTACCTCCCTCTCTCCATGCCATTGCTTCTGCTGCCATATGGTTCCTATTCTTCATCACCTCAGCTTATTTGTTTTCTGGCCTGTTGTAGCTCTTTATGTTCTCTTTGAACCTCATTTCCTCTCTGCTGTGCTCCTAATGCTGTTTGCCCTTTTTCCTGTTGGCCAGTTCATCTTTTCATCCCATGTCATAGTCATGGGCCAGCTGCAATCTCATTCTGACCTGTGGTCCTGTGTTGGGTATGAGCTGTGGAAGTCACAAGACAAGTGTGATTGTTCAGGACTACCTGTTCAGCACAATCTATTGGGTTGGAGGGTAGGGACAGTTTCCTCAGGAAAAGTCTGTGAGAGAGGCAGTTATCATCACCACCACATCCAGACCAGTACACAACTGAGTGGAGTGGGGACCTGGGAGACGAGCATGCTTCTGTTTCCTTCCCAGAGTCAGATGTGGATTTCTTGTGACTTGGCACTATCTTGTGTTTCTGCTGCTGGGCTGGAGGTTAGGACCTGGGTCACAACTCTCTATATGACTCTAGCAAGTCATTCCCTGCTCTCCAAGTCTCAGTCTCCCTGTTTACAGAATAAGGGGTTGGACTGGGAGGTCTCTGAAGGATACTTCTGCATCTCAGCTGGGCTCAGAAAGAGGATTTATGCCACCAGCCCTTCCTGGAATGATCTGATAGAGTGTGAGTTTCCTCTCAATGGAATCCAACCTCCAGTTGCTGGTCCCATTGGGCTGTAGCTCTGGGTCTGAAATGAAGAAGGAATTTCCCCTCCTGTTGTAGCAATTCGGCCAAGGAATGTAGGTACCTATGCAGTGCTCTTTTAGGATGATTCTATATATTTACAGCAGCCCTGAGCTACACAGATGAGAAAGACCTAATTCCTACTCTCAAAGAGGTAGAGATCATTCCTTCCTCTATAAACACAATTCTCTCCCTTTCTCTCTCCTTCCAGTTCTCCTTCTTTTCCATTAATTCACTCATTCATATAGCACTTATTACTACCTTTTACATTTTTATTTCTGTGCTAAGTTCTGCAGATTCCTAGATGAATAGGACACAGTCTAGTAGGAGGAGATAGATCTTTTCAAACCTCCCTCCCTCTCTCCTTCTCTTCATCCATCCAACCCTTTCTCTCCCTTCTTTCTTGTTTTCCTTAATCTAGCACATATTTATGGAAGGACCACACTGTGGCATATTTCTAAGTGCTGAGAATAGGGAGCTCCCAGCCTAGAGAATGAGAATGAGAATGAGACAAACAAGTAGACTGAGAAGTGACGAGGTAGAAGCAATAGCTGAAGCTGAGGGGAGTAATGCAGAGGTAGCTTTCAGAGCGAATGATGTGCTTTACTGGGTGGATCAGGGGTCAGGGGAGCTTCTCAGAAGATAGGAAAGGTAAGCTGTGTCTTCTAGGCAGACTAGGACTAGACAGATATTCCTAGTAGGAGTAAGAGCATGTCCCAAGTCTTGAAGATGTGAAGTAGCCTGGTTTGTGTTGAGGACTGTGAGCCCCCTCATCCAGCAGTAATGCAGCACCCCCACCTGATGAGGTAGGGTCAGCCAAGGCCTGATGGAGAGTCAGGACATTTACTACCACCCACCTTTAGTGAAGCTATTCCCCATCCCTGGTATCAGTGGAGGCTCCATGGGGAATAGTAATGAGGCACTCCTACTTCTCCCAACAAGAGTGTATCAGTGGAGGCCTATGAAGGAGCTGGAATTCCCACCCCCACCCAGCAACAATTAGAAATCCTCCTGCCCTCAGTGGCCAGGCCAATAGAGGCAGAGAGCCTAGGCATCTGCCCTTACCCAGCAATAACAAGACAGCACACACCCTCTTCCCTGCTAGGGCAGTGTCACAGGAAGCCAGCTAAAGCCGAAGATTTATTTATTTTTAAGATTTTATTTATTTATTCATGAGAGACATACAGAGAGAGGCAGAGACATAGGCAGAGGGAGAAGCAGGATCCCTATGAGGAGCCTGATGTGGGACTCAATCCCAGTATCCCAAGATCATAAACTGAGCCACAGGCAGATGCTCAACCACCGAGCCACCCAGGTGCCCCTAAAGCCGAAGGTTTGAATAAGACTCAGAGTCTCACACCCTAATACCCAGATGTCCAGGCTTCAGTGAAAAATCACTCATCACACCAAGATCCAGAAAGATCTCAAACTGAATGAAAAAAGACAATCAATAGATGAGATGAGTGAGATTTTGGAATTCTCTGACAAAGATTGTTAGAGCAGTCATCATAAAAATGTTTCAATAAGTAATTATGAACAGTCTTGAAACAAATGAAAAAATAGATCACTGCAAAGAAGTCAAAAGTCTCAGCAGGTGAAAAGAAGATATAAAGGAGAACCATATGAAAATTTTAGAACATATAACTAGGAAATGCAGTAATTAAAATTAAATAGTGGAGAGACTCGATGACAGAATGGAGGGGCAGAGGAAAGAATATGTGGGATTGAAGATAGAGAAGTAGAAAGTACACAGTCTGGTAACAGAAAGGAAGTAGACTGAAAAAAAATGAGTAGAGCCTCAGGGATCTTTGGGACAACAATAAAAGGCATGGTGTTGGTGTCATTAGAGTCCCGTGAGGAGAGAAAGAGGGCAGAGCTAAAAAGTTCTGCAAGAAATAATGGGCAAAAACGTCTCAAAATTGGCAAAAGACATAAACCGCTGTTCCTATTTTCTAATTTGGAAGCAAATAAACATACCATATTCATGGATTGGAAGATGCAACATAGTTAAGATGTCAGCTCTGCCAAAAATTGATACCTAATTCCTATCAAAATCCCAGCAAGATTTTTTTCCAGCAAGATTTTTTTTTATAGATAAAGACAAGATCATTCTAAATGTTATATGAAAAGGCAAAGGAACTTGAATAGCTAAAAACAATTTTGGAAAAGAATGAAGTGGGAGGAATCAGTTTGCCCAATTTCAAAGCTTATTATATAGTTAACAGTAATCAAGACCAAAAAGGATATACAGATGGCAAGTAAACACATGAAAAGATGTTCAATATCATTCACCATTAGGAAAATGCAAATTGAAACCACAGTGAAATATCACTACATTCCTATCAGAATGGCTAAAATAAACCACAGTGACAACTCCAGATACTGGCTAGGATGTAGAGAAAATCAATCACTCATACAGTGTTGTATAAAATGGCATAGTCACTCCAAAGAACAATTCTTGCATTTTCTTTAAAAATTAAATATGCAATTCAATTACCATGCTGTTCAGAAACCTCACCCCTGGGTATTTATCCTGGAGAAATAAACACTATTGTTCATATGAAACCTGTACAAGAATGTTCAAAGAGCAACTTTATCCACAGTAGCCATGAAGGGAAAACAACCCAGCTGTCCTTCAATGAGTGAATAGTCAGACACACGGTGGTACATCCATGTCATGGAATACTACTCAACGATCAAAAGGAAGAAACTTGGGGTACCTGCGTGGCTCAGTGGCTGAGTGTCTGCCTTTGGTTCAGATCATGATCACAGGGTCCTGGGATCGAATCCCACATCAGGTTCCCCATGGGGAGCCTGCTTCTTCCTCTACCTATATCTCTGCCTCTATCTAGGTTTCTCTCATGTATAAATAAATTAAATCTTTTTTAAAAAAAGAAAGGAACAAACTTGATACACACAACAGCTTGGATGTATCTCCAGCGAATTCTTCTGGGGAAAAAAAAGCCAATCCAGAAAGTTACCTACTGTATGATTCCATTTGTGTAGCATTCTTGAAATGACAGAATTATAGAAGTGGAGAATAGATTAGTGGTGTCTAGTGTTAAAGATGGGAGGAAGAGATGCAAGGAAAGAAATGGGGATAGCTATAAAAGGGCCACGTGCAGGATCCCTGTGGTGGTAGAAATGTTCTGTATCTTGACTGTGTCAACTCGATGTCTGCATTGTGATACTGTGCTATAATTTTGCAAGATGTAATCATCAGAGAAAAATGGCTAAGTATGCACAAGACTTCTGTTACTTCCTAAAACTCATGTGAATCTGCACTTAACGCAAATAAAAAAACCTTAATAGCAAATTATGTCATCAACGTAATTGCTACCATTTATTGACAGCAAAGTGCCTCGGCCCAACGCAAGGGCTATAGGTGCATCTGTAACCTCATCTAAACTTCACAGCAGACCCAGCACATGGATGTTCTTAGCCCCCATGAGGGACTAGGAGAGACTGAAACTCACAGAAGTGAAGTGGCTTACTTGGAGGCAGTGGGGGTGAGCGGGTCCTGGGAGAGTGATACGTGTAGCACAGGCACCCATTGGGCATCTAAATGGAAAATGTCCATTTCCCATTCCCCCTTGCCCTCCTATGCTGGTTGGTGTTTTTATGCTGACTCTGGAATTTGGCAGGTAAATACACCTGTTGTTAAATAATGGAGTCCTCAGGCACCCAGAGCAGGTCAGAGTGATGGACCTCTGAGTAATGCGGGGACCAAGGGACCGCTGTCTTGTGTGTGGACAGATTAAGTTGCCTCTGAAAACACTTAGTTCTGTTGGCTTCGAGAGGCAGGAATCCCTCTTATAGAATGTGGAGGTTTGCTGGTATTATTCTCATTTTACAGTGAGCAAAACTGAAGGATGGAGAGGTTAGGCATTTTGTCCAGGACGTAGAGGGAGGAGGTGGTTGCGGGATTTGAATCTGTGCTTGCCTGACTCGGGTTGCTGCTGGTATGAGTTTCCTGGGGCTGCCGTAACAAATGACCACAAACTGGGTAGCTAAAGTAGCAGATATTATTTCTCTCAAAGTTCTGGAGGCCAGGAGTTTGAAATCAAGGTGTCTGTGGGGTGGGTTCCTTGTGGGGCTCTGAGAGAGTATCAGCTCCATGGGTCTTTCCTAACCTCTGGTGGCTCTGGCCATCCTAGTCATTCCTTGGTTTATAGATGCAGCTGTCTAATCTCTACCTCTGTCTTCACATAGCCTTTTCCTCTGTGTGTGTCTCTCATTTCCCATTTCTTGTAGGGACACTTGATATTGGATTTAGGGCCCACCTTAATCTAGAATGATCTCCTGAGATCTTTATTTCCATCTGCAAGGACCTTTTTCCAAATAAGGTCATTCTGAGTTTCCCAATGGGCAGATCCTTTAGGGAACTCTATTCAAGCCACAATACTGTTCCTGATGCCACCGCCACCGGGTCTGTCCTGAGGGTGCACACATGGATCTGTCTTCGTGTTTGCTTAGAGCAGGTTTGAGGTCCAGGCGAGGCAGGGCTCACTCCAAATGATATGTGAGGGAAGAAGCCGAAGGCTCACACTCACTCTCTCTCTTGAGCTGTCAGGCTGTTGATTCTTTAATAAACACTCGGGAGGAGAAGTGCTATGATGGGAAGAGCACTCTGGGCACCTCGGCGTGGGACTTTCCAAAATCAAAAGGCACAGGGAACATAGCTGTCACCTATGTGGCTTTTCATTATGTGGTAACCTTTTGCTCTGGAGTCCAGACAGTGGACAGGAAATTGATGCCAGAAACTGTTCCTTCCACAGCTGGATGCAAACCAGCTGGCAGGTGGGGATGATGAAACAGGTGGGACATGGGAAGGGTCGTGGCTGAGGGGAGGGGGGCTAAGGATGTTCCTTCCTCCTTGCTCTCTCTCACTGCTGTGTCTCTGCTTCTCTGCCTACCCCTGGCCCCTGCCCTGTTTTCTTTCTGCAGGACCACATCCCTGTCCCTTACCAGCCAGACTCTAGCAGCAATCCCTCATCCACCACGTCCTCCACACCCTCCTCGCCAGCACCCCCGCTCCCTCCCAGCGCCACACCGCCTTCTCCCCTGCACCCTTCCCCGCAGTGCATGAGGCAGCAGAAGAACTTCAACCTGCCAGGTACTTCTGCACCTGGGGAGTCGCCAAGGCGGGAGGGATTGGGTTCGAACCAGAGCCGTGTCCAGGGCAGTCAACAGGTTGAAGACAAGCAGTTGAGCCTTCCCATGTGCAGGGAATCACCACATATTACCATATTTGATCTTTAGTTTAGCCACAAAATAAGTCTTCTCCGCTCCATTTTACAGATGAGGACACTGAGGCTCAGAGAGGTAAAGGGACTTTTGGTCAATAGCAACTCAGTGTCTCCAACTAAGCGTTGGACATGTATTCGAGCTGGCAGTGGTCTCATGAGCTAAATAGCTTGAAATTGGCATCAGGATCCTGATGCAGAGCTGCATTTAGACAGAGTCTTACTCCAGATGTCAGGATAGGGCACTGAATGAGCAGCTGGAGTCCTGGATTCAGTATCCAGTTCTGTCCTGTTCATGCCACCTGACCTCTGACTTCAGCTTCCCCACCTCAGAAAGGGTACAAATGAATGAGAGGATCCAAAAGGTTCTCCTGGCTCACAAATTCCAGGGCATCTGACTGCTAACCTGCAACCATGCATGGGGCTATGCAATGCTGGAGAAGCCACTCACAAGATGTTTGGCTGCTGAGCCTCCTTTGTCATTAGACTTAAGAGATCTTCCTCTGCTCAGGTGAACTGGATCTAAGAGTGTTCCCATCTCTTCTGAGGTCTAGCCCAGTCCACTTCCTCTTCTAGAACTCTAAGGACTTTCCATCTTGGCCATATTTTCAGCCCCACAGCTGATGTCAGGAAGGAGACTGGTGGAATGAGGTCTGGCTTGGTCAATGGGAACCGGAATCTAGAGCTGTGTCACTCAATATGGTGCCCATAGCACATGTTGCTATGTAAATTTAAATGAATTAAATTTAAATATAATTAAAATGTTAATTCCTCAGTCACATTAGCTGCATTTTGATTACTCAGTAGCCACTTATGGCTGATGGCTGCTATATTGGACGGTGTGGCTATAGAACATTTTTTTCATGACAGAAAATTCCACTGAATGGTGCTGATCTGGGGGCTGATTTCACCGGAGCCAGGGAGCTTCATGCAGGGGGAGGAATTCCTGGTCTTCATTCACACGTCGCACTTCCAAGCCTAATCAGCCATGAGGGCATGGCTGGTAGGCAGGTGGAAGCCCAATCCCACACCGAGGCAACATCCTGATACAGCTACTGGATTTAAGGACAAGCTGTCACCTGCCCACACTGTTTTGATCTGGGCTATGTCCATAGGAGTAGGGCACATTTTGAAGTCTTGGCAAAACAGATTTTTTTTGTTAAGTTCAAGCTTAAGACAGTCTTGTATTTGTTTGGTGTGAAGGCCACTCACTTGGCAGCCACCAAGGACCATAACGTGAGTCAGCAGCTGGAAGCATCTCAGTGTGTGCTTCCCTGAGTCAATTAGGCCAAAATTGTCCTCTATGTTCACAGATAGAGGGCTCCCAGTGCCACCCCAGGGTGGTCCATTTCTATTTCACTGGAAGGGGGTGAATGGAAGAAAGACCAGTTGGTACTTCATGACCCCCCAAACCTGGAGGGTAGTAGGTCTGGGTGCTTTCTTAGAGCTACTCCACCACACCCCCAGACACTGACTTCAGGGTATTTTCCCTGAAATTGTTTGCTGCTTGTGTAAGGGCTAGGGCCTGAGAAAGGATCTCTTAAGGGAGAACCAGAAAGAGCTGTGGCTCTTTCTGTCCCTAAAAGACTCTGCTGGCATCTGTAGACAAGAGACCCAGCTAACCAGGAGTGATCACTGTTTCCCTGAGCTTCTTCATTCCTTCGGTCCGGTCTCTGAGGAGTCCTTGCTGATTTGCTGGTAGCCTGCCAGTGGATCTGCATCTACTCCAGAGCATCTCATGACTGTGACATTTGGGGAGTGGGCCAAGGGATCCGCTGAGCAAGGGCACTTTAAAACAGTATTAAGAGTATCTGCTCTGGAGCTGGGCTGCTTGGGTTCAAATGCCAGCCCTACTACTTAATACCTGCATCATACTGAGCCAATCTGTTACCACTCTGTGCCTCTGCTTCCTCATCTGTAAAATGGAAATAATAATAGTATCTACTTCATAGAATCATTGAAGGACTAAACCTCGTCATACACGTACAGAGCTGAGCAGAGTGCCTGTCTCATTGAAGATCTTAACAAATGCTGAGGCGCCTGGGTGGCTCAGTTGGTTGAGCATTCAACTCTTGATTTCCACTCAGGTCATGATCTCAGAATCGTAAGATTGAGCCCCACATCAGGCTCCATGATAGGTGTGGAGCCTGCTTGAGATTCTCTCTCTCTCCCTCTCCCTCTGCCCCTCACCCCCCCCAAAACAAAAACAAAAACAAAACTACCATGGCTACCATTTTTGGCATTTTCTCCATCACTGCTGGTTAATATGGGCCTAATCAGAATTATGGAAATAAAGATGAAATCCTCATATACTCTGGTATTGGGAGTAGGAATTGAATCACCCATTGAGAAGGTAATTTTGCATTGTCTGTCAAAGTTTTATATGTACATTCCTTAGACCAGCAATATCACTTCTAAGACTTTATATACAGATATGCTTGCATAGGGTGCAGGGATCTGTATGTAAGGATTTCATTGCAATAGTGGAAAATCTGGACTCAACCCAAGTGGGGAATGGTTGACAATCAAGAGGCCCTGATACACTGTAATATATCTGCATAATCAAATATTCAGCCTCCCTTAAAAAGAATGGGGTGACTTCTTGTAGCTATCCTGACATGAAAGATATCCACAATGTCATTTAAGTGGGAAAGTAAGTGATTTGCAAAGCTGTTGGTATAATAACATCCTACTATTCTAAAATAATTATATATAGCTGTATGTTTATATGTGTGTATATATAAACTTGTGTATTTATACATGCACAAAAAAAGTCTGCAAGAACTTCATGGCAGGTGTTTCTAAGAAGAATAATTTTATTTTATGCATTGCTACAATGTATAGAATACCAAGGAGCATGCACCAGTTTTATAATTGAATAGTAATGGTAAAATGCAATATTGAAATGGAAAGCAAAATAGGACCATCCCGAAGAGCTGCCAAACCTTCTCTCTTGACTTAGAAGATTTTAGCAAAATTCTCTCAGGATGACAAGTGCCTGTCCTGTTCACATAAAGTCCTAGTCACTTGTCACACTCCTGACTGTGAGCCTTTGCTGATGGGAGAGGCAGCTCTGACCATGGTTCCCTGCCAGATACTGAGTTTTCTAAAGACTGTTCCAGCTAATGCCTAGGTATAACAATGTCTCCAACCTGGACTGATCTAGAACATTCTTTTGCAAAAGGGTTTGTAGGGGGAACAGACATTTGACTCACTTGTTAACCTCATGACATAGGAAAGGAGGGTTTTTAGTTGGAAAACCAAGTGCATCAGACACAGGCTTGGTAGGGTTTGTGATTGACCTCCTTGTTCTCTGCTACTCACTTCCAAATCATGTGGGTGTGTTTGACATGGCGAGTGGCAAGTGGGTGTTTCCTCCTTTCAAAACCTTCAACCTCCCCTCACTCTGCCCTGATTCCCTCTTAATGCTCAATAGTGCTCCTCCTTCCCTGCCATGAACTTGTTCATTTATTAACTTTAGTGTTCATGTCCTCATGACAATAAGAATTGTCAGCTCCATGAGACAAAGAAACGCGTCTGCTTCATTCATGCCTCTATACCTGAAACCCAGCATGTTGCCTACTGCCAAAGGCACTAATGAAATGTTTTGTTTTGTTTTTTTAAATAAGGGAGTGATTGAATGAATCAACGAATGACTTGAGATTCTTGAACTGCCCAGGGCTGCAGTTTTCTGTCTTCAAGTCATCCCCTAGCCCTCAGACTGCATTCATCCATCTATTTCCATAGCACATATTTACTGAGCATCTACTTTGTACCATTACTACACGAGGCAGTAGGGATGGATCAGTACACAAACCGGGAGTGCCCAGTATGAGTTTCCAGTGGCTGCTGTAACAAATCACCACAAGCTTAGTGGCTTTAAACAGCCCCAGTTTATTATCTTACGGTGATGGACGTCACAAGTCCAAAGTCAGTTTCACCAGGCTAAACATCAAGGTGTCCGCAGAGCTGTTTTCTCTGGGAAGTGCTAGGAAAGAATCCACTTCCTCGCCTTTTCCCAGCCTCTTGTGGCTTTCTGCATCCATTTGCACAGAGCTCCACACCACTCTCACCCCTATTTCTATCACTGATTTCACATATCTGATTCTCTCCCTGACTCTGAGCCATCCTCCTCCCTCTCATAAGGACTTATGTGATTACATTTGGGGCCCACCCAGAGGATCCAGGATAACCTCCCTGTCTCATGGCCCTTAACTGAATCATACCTGCAAAGGCCCTTTTGTCATGGAAGGGGACGTAGTCACAGTGTCCAGGGATTAGGATGTGGACCTCTTGGGCAGAGTGATATTATTCTACCTGCCACCGTCCCTGTTCTCACGGAGTCTATGGCTTAGTGAGAGAGATGGGTTAGCCACGCAGACATACACCTCAAATAAGTTACGACAAGTACTTTGACGGGAAAAGCATAGCATTAGAGCAGCCCTACAGCAAATTCGAGAGGAGAGCAAGTTTAGGTTGAAGGGTCAGAAGTGGCTGAGTTCCGAAGATGGGGGAGAGTTGACCAGTAGAGGGAGCAGAGCATGTGCAAAGTCCCTGCCCCAGAAAACAGCAGAAAAAATGTCCCTGTGACCTGAGTGCCATGAATAAGGGGAAACAGCACCAGGCAAGACTCAGAGCTGCAGGGAGGAGGCCTGGAAGGGCCTTGCAAGGCATGACAGCAATCTGGATTTTATCTAAGAGGTGAGGGCAAGAGATGACTTCTCTTCCATTCTTCCTTCTAGATCCTTCCTTCCAGAAAACCATCCAGGCTGCTTTGAGGGAAGGCCTTGGGGAAGGAGGGGAGGAAGAAGGGCTTCAGAGTAGAAGTGCCTTCAAAATGGTCTGCTTATCTCTCTGGCCTCTGGCCACCTGCAGCCTCTCAGTTCCCAAGTCCTCTTCAGTTCCAGAGAGCAGGGAGCCACTCAGCTTTCCTGAACAGGCCACTCAGGTTCATTGGCTTCCCTATGGAGTGGCTCCTTGCTGGTGTCTGTTGGCAGCAAGGACAGGGCTCACAGTGACGCCTTGACTCCTCTCTGGCCACTCTCTCCTTTGCAGTCATCAAGAGTGAGCCGTTCTCCAGCACGCAGAGCAGTCGAAGAGGGAGGGGGGCTCTGTGCGTGGAGACATTTGCCACTGTCCCTGTGCCTGACACCTGTCCATTTTCAGAGTAGTGCTTGCTCCCTCCCCCAGCTGCTGCTCTGTATAAGAATATCACTGCCAGCTAGCCTTTTCTGCAGACACCGAATCCCGTCCCAGTTGGGGAGGGAAGAGATCAGCTAAGCCTCTTGAGAACCCCGGGTGGTTCTTCCTTTTTAATTTTAGACCCTTGTTGACTGTGTGCAATGAAAAAAACCTAAGTTATCTAACAGAAGAAGGTCCTTGAAATCTTGGGGGTTGGTTTTCTTTTAAAGCTCTGCCCTGGACTTCGAATGAATTGCTTCTCATCCCCAGCGCCTCATTTTGCCGAATCAGAAAATGCATCCGTTTGGATTCCAACTGTCTGGGATATCTGGGGACCGCTGTGCTAGAAGAGAGTAGATTAACTCCACAAACATGAGTTGTGCACCCACTGGTCCAAGGGCCCTTGGGATCCTGAGATACCAAGGTTTGTTCTCTGTCCTGGGGGAGTTTATAAATCAGTTCCAACCTCAGAGGCAGCTAATGACTTCGCTCTTTGAAATTGATTTTCTCTTAATTATAAGTCATTCTTGTCTGGTTATTAACAGAGCTTAGAAAGATACTGGCTTATTCGTTGTGGCTAATGCTTATTCAGCGTTTCTACGCACTGTGATCTCATGTAATGATAATCTCAGCCCTGGTTGGGAGAGACTGTTATTATCTCCATTTTACACACATGGAAACTGAGACTCAGGAGACAGTTGCCCAAGCTTTTACAAACAGCTGAAGGAAGAGCAAGGATTCGACCCTCTAGGATCAGCCTCCTACTCCTGCTGTGTAGCTCCTCTTTGCTTTAACCCTGAAGTCACCAAACTTTCTATAACGGGCCTGATAGTAACATTTTAGACTTTGTGGGCCGTATCCCCTCCATTGTGGCAAATACCTCTGATGTTGTAGCACAATGGCAGCCAAAGACAGCATGCCACTGAATGAATGTGAGCCTGTCTTCCAATAAAACTTTATGTACAAAAACAGCTGATGGTACAGATTTGGCCCGTGGGCCATAGTTTGTCAACCACTGTGTGAATTCTTGGTGAGTCAACGTGCAGTTGTAGGTTGTCCCTGGAGGTAACAAAATTGTTTCTAGAAGCATAGTCACCAATTCAGACTCCTATCTGACCCCACTCCTGCTCACTTCCTCTGTCCAGGGAGATTAAGCTCTGTGTGACCTCCCCCACTGCCCATGATACCTCTTGACCCCACTGGAGGAACTGGTAACATTAGAAATCTCAGGGATGTCCGGAGCAGTTGGCCTCTTTTGAGTGGACTGAAAGTTAAATGAATCATAGGGAAAGCAGCATCAAGTTGAGGATATTTCTTTTGTCCCTAAATATAGAGACCAACTCATGCTCGTGGTAGGCAGGATCACGGTACCCCAAAGATGGATAGGCTCTAATCCCAGAATCTGTGAATATGTTACTTTATCTGTGACTTTACGTTGCAGATGTGATTAAGTTAAGGATCCTTAGGTGGGGAGATTCCCCTGGATCATCCAGATGGATCCTAAATGTAACCATAGGGGTCCTTATAAGAGGGAGCCAAGAAGGCCAGAGACAGCAGGAGGTGATGTCAGGACGAAAGCAGGGACTGGAGTGATGGACTCTGGGCCAAGAAATGTAGGCTCTAGCAGCTGGAAAAGACAAGGAGCAGGTTCTCCTCTGGAGCTTCCAGAAAGAACCAGCCCTGCTGACACCTTGATTTTAGCCCCTTGTGACTTATTCCATACTTGTGATCTCTAGAACTATAAGAAGTTGTTTTAAGCTACCAAGTGTGTGGCAATTTGTTACACCAGCAGCAGGAAAGCTAGTATGATGCTCAAGGCAGAAAATTTGGAAGACACAGGAAATGCATATTTTTTCTAATTTTATTGAAATATACTTGACATATAACATTGTATAAGTTTAAGGCACACAACACATAATGATTTTAATTGTTTGAGGACCCTCCAAACTGTTCTCCACAGTGGCTGTACCGGTTTGCATTCCCACCAACCATGCCCTACACACTTTCTCCACACCCTCGCCGGCACTTCTCTCTTGTCTTTTTGATAGTAGACATCTTCACAGACATGAGAATATTTCATTGTGTTAGAAAGGATTTTTTGAAAGCCTCTGTAATCACTCTGGCAAATCACAGACTTTTTCTGTGTGTGTGTGTGTGTGTGTGTGTGTGTGTGTGTGTGTGTCCCTATGCAGTTAACAAAAATGGGACTGTGCTCTGGGTGACCCTCCGAGTTGAGATGCTCTGTTTTCAGGGGGCTTCAAGTGAGAGGGTTGGCATTGGATGTATAGAGCTCTGGTTCCTTTATATATCCTCCCAGTCCCTTGTCATTTAGGGTGTCTGCAGAAATCTGGAAACCCTCAAGGGTGGGCAGGGAACTCACACGATTGCTGTGGGACCAGATTTGTTATTTGAAGGGACAGCCCCCAGGGCAGCACTGATTTTGCTGTTTTCATTGTTTTGCAAGCATCCCACTACTACAAATACAAGCAGCAGTTCATCTTCCCAGGTGAGTCCTGAGCAAGCCTGCTGAGGGACGTGTGTTGCTGGAATGGATGAAAGCAAGGCTCTCGGGGTGGTCAAGCTCAGAGAGAGGGTGGCAGTGGAACCGCTAGATCTGTCTTTCTTTTCCATAAAACCAAGTGGCCTCACCATCCCGAAGAGAACTCAGGAGTAGGGGGTGATATGGAGGTGACCAGGGTGCTTCTGGTCAGAGGCTGAGGGTACTGGCCACCCTCTAGTCAATAGGGGGGTGTTTTGTGTCATCTTAGAACCCTGCTGTGTCTGAGCAGGAAAAGTTCAAGCGATGGAGGAAGGGAAAGGGGATGGCCAGCCCCAAGGACCTGTGATGTTTTGCAAAGTTACTAGCTACTCCATCTCCCAGGAACCAGGTTCTTGGGGGAGGCTGCGGACCCCACATTGGGTTTCTGACTGTCTCATGTCTGCCTCTCAGATGTTGTGCCGGTGCCAGAGACGCCAACCCGGGCACCCCAGGTCATCCTGCATCCAGTGACCTCGAATCCAATGTAAGTAGAATGGAGACCTCCCTCCCCTGTCCTGGGCCTTCAGCCCAGTCAGGGTCACTGTCTTCTGTCTTTCTTTTCCTGAAATTGATGGGGTGGGATACTGGGGTAAGTCAGCTCTGCTTCATGTCCTGGCCCTGCTTGTCAAGTCTGATTTCCAGGGGCTGGACCATTTCCTTAGGATGCCCAGGCTCTTCTATAATCAGGAAGATAATTTTCTGCAATAGTTAGAGCTTAATGAAAGAAGTTATTCTACATCATTGCCCCCCCCACTTTAAAAAGCATAATTGGGGTTCATCTTGCACAAATTGTGCAAGCATAAAAAGCATGATTTAGGGTTATGCTAGGGATCAGCAAACTATAGACTATGGGACAAATCCAGTTTGCTGCCTGTTTTTTTTTTTAAATAAAGTTTTATTGGAACACAGCCACATACATTTGCTACAACATACTGTCTATTGTGGGTTTCAAAGTCCACAATAGCCAAACTATGGAAGGAGCCTCGGTGTCCATCGAAAGATGAATGGATAAAGAAGCTGTGGTCTATGTATACAATGGAATATTACTCAGCCATTAGAAATGACAAATACCCACCATTTGCTTTGAGGTGGATGGAACTAGAGGGTATTATGCTGAGTGAAATAAGTCAATCGGAGAAGGACAAACATTATATGGTCTCATTCATTTGGGGAATATAAAAAATAGTGAAAGGGAATAAAGGGGAAAGGAGAGAAAATGAGTGGGAGATATCAGAGAGGGAGACAGAACATGAGAGACTCCTAACTCTGGGAAACGAACTAGGGGTGGTAGAAAGCTAGGTTGGCGGGGGGTGGGGGTGACTGGGTGATGGGCACTGAGGCGGGGCACTTGATGGGATGAGCACTGGGTGTTATTCTATATGTTGGCAAATTGAACTCCAATAAAAAAATAAAAATAAAAATAAAAATAAAACAAAGTGCAACAGCAGAACTGAGTAGTGGCAACAGAGACCAGATGGCCTGCAAAGTCCAGAATGTTTCCTATCTGTTTATAGACCAAGGTTGCTGACCTCTGGTTTATACCATGATAAGAATAATATAAGCTAATTTTGGAAAATGTGGACTCTTCTAGAAAAAAAAAAAAGAAGGGAAAAATAATCACTCACAATTGTACCACTCTTGGAACTTTGATGTGTGCTCTTTCTATTCCTGTTTTACATACATATGATTCATGACCTATGCAGTTTCCAGCCTGCCTTGTTATCCTGGAAAGCTATAACATCTCATTTTTTGTATTATTCCAGACCCTTTCTAGATACTGTTTTTAATGGCTGTAAAATATCATTATTGATATAGAAAATTGTCCTTAACCATTGCCTTATTGCCAGATCTCATATCTTCCCATATTTCACTGTCATAAATAACACTGCAATGAGTGTCTTAGGATGTGGCATTGTTAGCATCCTCTCTTTTCAGGTGGTCTGTTCTCTGCACCCAAGTGAAACCACCTTCCTTGACTTAACTTCTTTGGTTGTGGCCAGAGTGTGAGGCATGCTAGGGACTTGATTTCGATTCAACCAGTTTCCCAACTCTTCCCATTTTTGCCTACTTGGTTATTCTTTGGGCTCCCCTAACTACTCCATCCTTTCTGACCCGTGTTATGGATTTTGTTAAAGACCCAAATGGTACCTCTGTGAAATCAAAAGAGCAGCAATTTGCTGGGGATATTGTGCCGACATCCAGCTCCGGATCATTTCTTGGCTGCACATAAACCAATTCTACTATTTGTGTAAGACGAACCCCAGGTTATTAAATGGCAGTCGGGGAGTGCCAGCGAAATGCCTGTGATCTGCTTAAACATGCACAAAGTGATGGGTACTAACTCTTCGCAGAAGGAAATAATTTAATCGCCAGGCTACCATCATCACGCCTTGATGCAAGCAGAGGAGGGCTCCCTGTTCTGTTGTTGGGCGTGAGGAGGGACTCCAGCTGCATTATTCCACCCAGATCTCCCCAAGTCATCAGGTTCCCAGCATTTCAGCTGTCACTGTGTGGTTGCATTCCGCCTCCCCAGCCGTACTGTAAATAACTCATTTATATGAAAGCAAACAGCACTTTGCGGTCCACCCTTCTTTCATTTTCTTTTAATTCTTACAGCCTCTCAGGATCCCTGTCTGCAGGAGCCTCTCCAGCAAGTGGACTGGCTCTTTCTGCAGGGTAGGCAGTTTTTTTTGGGTTTCAGAGTCAGGAGAGCAGTGGCCCTTCAAATGAGGGGTGGGAAGGTGATCTGCCGAGCTTGCCCAGGGGAAATAGGAAGGGGGCAGGTGTGGTTCTTTTCTGCCCCTGGGTCCAGCTTTTCTTTGCCTTTAGCAGCCCAGTTACTGTCTCCCCACTGCACTCCACACACACACACACACTCTCTCTCTCTCTCTTTCTTTCTCTCTCTCTCCTCTGGAAGCACACCCCCAGAAACACCTCTAACACACACTGTACCCCACATGCCCGTCGCATACCATGTGTTCCCATACTCCCTTCATACCCCAGGACATAGCCAGCTACACTGTCAACATATGGCATGCCTCCAACATCCCCAGGAGGTACACCCAACTCACATGCACCCAGAACAACCCCTGCACAGAGCATATCCCATCATACCCACATGGTACTCAACATATACTTAGTACTCACACACACAAACACATTGTGTCCTCCAGCACCCACACCTGGCATGTGCCCACGCTTAGCACAGCTGCAGCTCGCAAGCTCATGACTGCCTCACATTCGTGCATGGACACATATGTGTGTGTGCACACTGCACACCCATGCGTGCACATACACACCTGTCTAATGCAGTTTTGCTTCGTTCTCATTCTACACATCCTGATTCCATGTGACTGGCAACAGCCAACTAGCTCAAACACGGAGAATTTTCAAAACACATCCAGTAATCTCTCCGGGGCATTTCCATCAGACTCCATTTACTCAATCTGTACCTAACTTTGGCCCTTGTTATTTTTAGCCTTTCTGCACAATATCTCTGCACTTGCTCTAGTCCCTTCAGTAGTGACATATAGTATTCTTCAAAGTTAGGATCCATGCCAGTTTCAAACTCTGTGTCCCCTCTGATGGCCTCACACCATTCCTGTCTCATGCAGTTTTCCCCCGCTATCTGAAAGTAGAGCATTCCTATGAAAACTTTCATGAGCCAAAATGGCGTGATGCAAAGAAGCAATTATTACTCATTTATATGAAAAAATTGAGGAGTGTCCCCCGACCCCCCAAAAAAATACTTCTCTTGGCTTTTCTGATACCTGAGGACACACCTTGCTAATGGATGCACAGAATAAATGGAGATGAAACAGATGCTTATAGACACAAGTAAAAGCTCTGGTGGCTGGATGCTGAGATGCTGAGGGTCGCTCCTAGGGAAGGAGCTTGGATGCACCCACTCAGGCTGCCCTGGATGCACGCTGCCTCTGTAACAACTCGCTGCAAAACATAAGCTGAATGCAATTTCACTTTTTACCCTTTTTCATAAAAGCAAAATCCTCTTCATATTTCTTTTGGTTAGCAAAACAGATACCAATGTAGATCTTTCCTAAGAGCAAAGTGGCACGATGCCAGCTTTCAGAAAGCAGGAGGTACCTGTAATCCCGAACACTAAGGTTCTTCTTCCATACGATTCCGAACCCAAGCAAACTTTAGCGATCTCATTAATTCTTTCCTAGCAAACACCCAGAGCTGAGGATTCTTCTGCCCATGACATTTAGGCCAATTTCTAAGGAAGCTGCTAGATTAGTGGAAACCAAAGCAATAAAAATGAACACTGAGCAGTCCAGAAAATCTTTTTAAAGCAGTGTCCTTGTCATTGCTTCTTCATGGTGAGGTTATGGATTATTTTAGATGCAAGTGTTGAAGTGAATTTTGAGATAAAGCCTTGATGGTGAGGGCTTCTCATTCAGACTCTTCATACATGGATAAACAATACACAGACCTACCTTTTCACCTGAAGGTCACATATATTTTTCTTTCTTTAAAGCTTGGAAGGAAATCCATTACTTCAAATTGAAGTGGAGCCAACCTCAGAGGTGAGATTCGAAGAGGAAAAAACACCTTTTTCCTGGGGCTGCCCAGGACTTGGAGAGCTGACAGCTGACTTTAATGATGCAGAGGGCTGGGGGCAGGTGGAGGTGGGGGGACCCTGTTTGATGGATGTTCTAACTCCAGGACAGCTAACGAGTGGGTGGCCCCTCCCGGCACCAAGCCTAATGGGGTGTTATATGGTGTGCATCATGGAAAAGCTAGTTGTGCAGAAGTTGGCAAGAGATTTGCATTCTTCATTGAAAAATCAGCTTAGGGCCGGTGAGTACCAAGGGGGATGTGCCCCCAATGCCTTCCAAAGAATACACTGGAGGTAGAGTCTCCGGGAACACTGAGCTTGGCAGGCTTTTGAGAATGTTCTAGGACTTCTTCCCATGTGCCAAAACTACTAGAGGAATAAATGGAGTGTCCTGGGAAAGAACCATGGACTCCTCAGCTCTAATGGTGTGTCCTGAAGCTAAGGGAGTAGAACCAGTATTTCCAGAAAAAAATCAAGTCCTTTCTGCAGTTACTGCGCTAGTTGAAAAATTATCCTGGGGAAGCCAACGGAAACTGTGTCATTTCTCCAGAGTGTGCCATGAGGGACAGGTTGCTCAGGTTTGGGGTCAGGAAGATCTGTGGCCAGCCAAGAGGCCACCTTCTCAGGCTGCTGTCAGGACTCACGCCTCTGGGAATCCCACTGGCTGGGGCTCCTGTTGTTCCCTCACTCAAACCAAAGAACCCAAGGGGGAGAGCATTTGCAACCACCGCTCTGGGAAGACAGGCCCCTGGACCGTGCAGGAGTGTGGGACAAAAATGCAGAGTTCTGGCCCTGGCCTGACTTTTTTTCTGATTCAGTAGCTCTGGGGAGGGCCCAGGAATCTGCATTTTCTCAGGAAGCCCAGTGGCTGTTGGATACAGGTGGTCAGATGTGTGCGAAGCCCAGTGGCTGTTGGATACAGGTGGTCAGATGTGTGCAAGGGATTTATGAGGCTTTCATTTCATTGCAAACCTCACACCGTCCCTGGGGGCAAATTTTATTAGCTCTACTTTATGATGAGAGAAGGCAATCTCAGAGAAGTCAAGCAGTTTGCCCAAGGTCACACAGAGGCCAGATTCCAGCTCATTTTGTCTGATTGTTAAGCCCATCCTATGAGCCTCCCTCCTACCCTTTGCCCTCATAGCTTTGGAGGAAGCCTGGTCATCTGGCCTGTGCAGAGTAGCTCTGACCTGTTCCCGTTTCTGATTCATCAGTTCCAATTTTCTTGGGGGAAGCAAAAGGCACTGCATATTGAGGGTTGTCACATGCTCCATGCAGACACCTGATGCACCCATAGTTCAGCCTGTTGTCTTCATTACACATGCATGAGTAGGCAGGTCAAAACATCATGGCAGAATAGGAAAGCATTGGATATTAGGAGTTGAGACACTTGTATCTTAACCCAAGCTCTGTCTGTCTGTGCGATGCAGAGCTGGGCAACCTCCCGGGATGACCAACCATCCCTGTTTGCCGGGACCGAGGGGCTTCCAGAGGGAACTTTCATTTTTCATTACTCTCTACACTCAGTAGAGGGGTCAGACTTACAACCCCGAGATCAAGAGTCATATGCTGTCCTGACTGAGCCAGCTAGGTGTCCCCTCCCCCAGGAGACATTCAGTGCCCAAACCAGGAAAGTCCAGCAAACCAGCATGGGTGGTCCTCTAGCATTTCTTCTCTGGGAGCCTCAGTTTCTCCCCTAGCAAAAGGGCATTGGATAACCATGATCTCCCTTTCAGCTCCACCTTATATGATTCTAGACAAGAGTGACCTGGGCAAATAGATATATGTCCACACTGGCGAAAAACGCACATAGAGATGTGTCCAGAACTGGGGGACCTCGTGGAAAGGCAGGGCAGGAGCCACTCTGATCACTCTCCCCTTCCCGGCCACAGAATGAAGAGGGCCACGATGAGGCCGAGGAGTCAGAGGATGAATTTGAGGAGATGAACCTGTCCCTGCTCTCAGCCAGGAGCTTCCCACGCAAGGCCAGCCAGACCAGCATCTTCCTGCAGGAGTGGGACATCCCTTTTGAGCAGCTGGAGATCGGCGAGCTCATTGGCAAGGGCCGCTTTGGGCAGGTGTACCATGGCCGCTGGCATGGCGAGGTGGCCATCCGGCTGATCGACATCGAGAGGGACAACGAGGAACAGCTAAAGGCCTTCAAGCGAGAGGTGATGGCCTACAGGCAGACGCGGCATGAGAACGTGGTGCTCTTCATGGGCGCCTGCATGAGCCCACCTCACCTGGCCATCATCACCAGGTCAGTCCTTCCCAGGCTTCCCACCCATGGATCCATTCCCAGAGCTCTGCCTCTGGTGGCCTTGAGAAGCAGGGGTTCTGGTTAATGCCTTGTTCTGGTAAATGGCGCTTCTTCTGGCTCTACCATTTACAATGGTGTGGTTTTAAGATTTGACATTCCAGAAAATACTTTTGATGCCAAAATCCTTTGGCAGAGTGGTGCCACAGGAAGGGCACCATAAATGGGAGGTTAGGAAAGTTGGTTCTGGTCCCCATGTACTCCAAGGATTTGTGAAACAACATCACTGAGATTCACTGTCTCCGTATTTAAATTGAGCTGAATGGATCCAATCAGGAATTGGCTGATTTTTTTCTGTAAAGGGCCCAGGAATGAATATTTTAGCTTTATGGGGCATACAGTTTCTGTACCAACTGCTCAACTCTGTCCTGTGATGTGAAAGCAGCCACAGACAAGATATAAATGATTGTATGTGGCTGAGTGCCAATAAAACTTTATTTATAAAAGCAGGTGATGTGCTGGATCTGGCCCTTGGGCCCTAGTTTGGCCAACAGTGGGCTGAGATCATGATGACTTCTTTCATTCAAGAAGCAGACAACATTTGCAGCACTTTACCATTGCTATCTTAAATATCCAACAACCATGATCTATAGCTGCACAAGAGATATAGTGAGAACTGACATTAAGAAAATGTCAGGTGATAGCAACTTTCCAGAACTTGATCTCTAGCCTCACTCAGTGACATGGGGCATTGAAAAAAAAATAGCTTTGGTTTCAATTCTTTGGTGTGTTTTTAAACTCTGGCTGTTGCTCTCCTGTTGCATTAGGGCTAGCCATACTCATGCCATTCTTGGTGTGGCCTGTGATGCCAAGAGTCAGCTAGGATCTCTCTCCTTCTCATTCTCAACTCCAGTGAGAAGATCCCAAACACACAAGCCTCTCATCTTGACAGGTGTCATAGTAGGAGCTGTGAGCTCAGGAAGAGCCAGTGGGTCTTTGGTTCCCTTGTGATACAAAGCATCTTTGAGCCCACTTATAAGATCTCAGGGGTTAGAAGAAGGTGTGTTATTGTCTGTCAGCATTGACTGTGCAGATGATGGATTGACTGGAATCCATGTGTCATATGGTAAGTGTTTTCAAAGGATTGGAGATTGAGAAGTGCCCTTCAATCATTCCTAAACGAGGGTAAACATGTTAGTTCTCAACCCTGAAGAGAACAGAAGAGGCTCTCAAATAACCAGCTCAGATGGTATGCAGGGGCTGAGCTGTTCTCATGAGGTGAGTGTATCAATAAGCTTGTGCTGAGTAACAAGCTACCCCCAATGCTTGAGAGTTTTCCTCTCTTCTGTGGACAGTTCTGTGCTGAGCCAGGCCCAGTAGCTGGGCTCATGGATGTGTCTGTGGTCAGCTGGCAGGTCAGACTAGGAGCTGGTCATTCTTGGATATCCCTACTTCTGTGTCCACAGGTTGGCAGGTTGGCAGCTGGGGTGCCCTGATTCTCCTCTTCATGGCCTTGTATCCCCCAGCAGCCTAGCTTGGGCTCATTCTTGTGGTGGTCTCAGGATTCCAAGTGCTGCAAGAGGTTGAGCCCTGATGGGCAAGTGCCTTTCACACCTCTGTCATGTTGCATTGATCAATGAACGTTGGCCAAACCAACTCACATGGTCAACCTAGATTTGAGGCATGGAGAAAGAGACCTTACCTCGGCATGGGAGGATTTGTGATGTCATGTGACAGGGGCATAGATGCAGGGAGAGGGACAACCTGTGGCTACTTCTACAACCTGCCACAGCTCCTTTCCTCCTCTCTTCATTATCCAGAATGTATCATCTTCCTGCATAGCCTTTTATTTTGGGATGTGTACATCTGGTTGGTTGGAAGGTGGTCTTTCCCCTCCCCTCACTGGCCTTCTTTCTACTGCTTCCACCAGACTGTCACCCCAAATTTCTCTCTGTCAGCTTCTCACCTTCCAGTAACCCCTCTTTTTGACATCCCCAAACTAGAACTTTGAAACCCATCATCTCCTGTCCTTTGCCTGGCCCTTCTAAGGACCTCTTGCCTCCCGCCCTCTGACTTTCTCAGTGTTACTGACGGATCCCAGTACCCCAAGCCTCCCTCACCCCTTTCCCAAGGGCTGGGCAATTAGAAGTGGACAGATTCAGTTAGCAGCCACCCTTGAGAAATAAGTGGTCATTATGAAAATGTGTCACTCATCCTGTAAGCCAGCTGCATTTGGGGCCTGAAATTTCTATTATGTACAAACTCTGCCCCCCTACTCCCCGAGCACCGTAACTGCCTGCAGATTTCACAAATAGCACAGCCTTTTCCTGGCACCGTGATAAAGACTCTGCAGCTTTGGGACATGTAATTGGTCTATGAAGTGTTTTGGTATTTTGTGTGAAGAAGCCAGATGAGCCCCAAAGAAGTGGCATTTATTCTATATTATTGTATCATTATTTATTTTTTTATCTTGGGGGATGCTCTGTGAACCGCATTCTCCCATGTAGCACCATCCACTTGTTGACCATCAGGCCTTTTATCTGAACATTCAGTTTGAAACCTGATATTTGAGTAATTTGATTAATCACCTGCATCCACATAATTGGCTGGCTGAGGTCGATGGTTGGACAATAGCCAACCAACTGGAACAATTTTGGGACCCTGGATTTATTTTACAGGGAACATAAGACCAGATAATTACCTGGCATATTCCAACTAAATTCACAATGGCGTGTTCTAGCCAATTACTTAGTAATTATCATCGGAGTTAACAAGTATTTCTAAGATTAGCTTCCTTGTAATACGATGTGTATGGCTCTTGGGGAATGAGTAATAACCAACTAGTTACCCAATTGCTATATCCACAAATACAATTAGCAGCAGGATTGCTAAATCGTTTCACGATTGGGTCATTATGAGATTATTGCAAAGCTATTGGCAGTCTGCACAATCGTTCATTTTAAAAACTCCAAGTGGAATTTGAAAGCCGACAGAGCTGAATGAAAACATCTCTCATCCTTCCGCCTTGCTGCAGAGTTCCCAAGGCCTCAGTGTCCCCATCTGCAAAATGAGGCAGAAGTGGGTGCTTGTGGCAGGGTCCCTCCAAATCTGACAAAAAGCTCTGGGAATGGGCTGGTTTGAAAAGCAGCCTGGAACAGCTCTGGAGTGGTGCTCCCTGAAATATAGTCCGCCTGGATCTCCTGCATCAGAACCAGCAAAGGGAGGAAAGTCGTTCAAATGCAGGCACCTGGGTGCTCCTGTATTGGTTTCCTAGGGATGTTGTGATGGGCACACACTTGGGTGGTAATATGACACATATTTATTGTTCTGCAGTGCTAGAGGTTGGAAGTCTGGAGTAGGTCTCACTGGGCTACAGCCAAGGGCTGCTCTCCTTTATGAATGAGAACATTTCCTTGTCTTTTCAGCTTCTAGAACATTCCTTGCATTCTTTGGCTTGTGGCCTCTTAATCCTATCTTCAAGGCTAGCGGTATACCCTCTTGCTTCCATGGTCACATAGCCTCCTTCTGTGGTCAGATCTCACTCTTACAAGGATACTTGTGATTGCATCTTGGACCTATCCATCTGGAAACCTCTCCCATTTCAACATGCTCAACTTCAATCACATCTACAGAGTCCCTTTGGCAATATATATATATATTTTTATTCAGAGGCAGAGTGAGAGAGAGAGGCAGGCAGAGAGGTAGAGACACAGGCAGAGCGAGAAGCAGGCTCCATGCAGGGAGCCCCATGTGGGACTGGATCCCGGGTCTCCAGGATCACACCCCAGGCTGCAGGCGGCGCTAAACCGCTGCGCCACGGGGGCTGCCCCCTTTGGCAATATTGAGATAACTTTTGTGGTTTTCAGGGATTAGAACCTGGATATCTTTGGGCTTCAGTTTTTAGTTTATCACATCACCTTGGACCTAATGATTTAAGCCCGTTTGTAGGTTAAGACTTTCTAACCAAGCTCCCCAGCCCATTCTAATCTGATTAATATCTGGGAACCATACCCTGGGGCATATTACCAGTGAGTACCTACTGTGTGCTTAGCACAGATGCCGATGTAAACCAGCTAGTGCAGAGGGAAATGGAAACAGGAATGTTTTTGGGGAAAAAAAAAAAAAAGACAAGACAAAATTACAAAATAATTAGGATCTCAGTGGGAAGAAATTTGTTATTAATCTGGTGACAGGAGCCAGGACCAACCTACCTTAGCTAGGTGCCATGGAGACCAGACCAAAGCAAAACACTACCACTGATGTCTCTAGGAGGGCTTCATTAGCAGGAGCCTGATCCCATTGAACTCATCCGGGCCATATTACAGATATGGAGACTGAGGCCAGGACAAGAAAGTGGGGCTGGGACAGGAACACGAGGTCTCTAGCAATGCACTTGATCCTCCAACAGCTTGAAAACCCTAGCCTCCCCCAATCCTTGTCCATTCATTTATTCAGTCATCAGATACTTAGTAAACACGTTGAGTACCAGGCACTTTGCTGGATGCCAGGGGATGACACTGAGCAAGACAGACATAGACCCTGTTCTCAGAATGCTGTCATTGTAGTGGGGGAGACAGACTAGTGCTAAGTAATAATGAGACCATTTGAATAGGTCCCAGCATATTGAAGGAACCAAGCCAGAGCAGTGCTATAGAGAGACTTGGGGATGGAGTTATTTTAGGTGTGCATTATGGGACGGAGGATCCAGGCAGCCTCTCTGAAGAAGTGGCATTTGTGCAGAGACCTGAGTGCAAAGAGCCAGCTGTGAAGACATGGGGCAGGGCACACATAGCAGAGGGAGTAGCACATGCGAAGGCCCGGGGGTAGGAATGAGCAGGGTGTGCTTTGGACCAGAAAGAAGACTGTGGTAGAACATGGTCGGTGAGGACGAGAGGGTGGGAGGTGAGGAAAGAAGCCAGCAGGGGCCAGACTGGGGAGGGGAGTGGTGCTCGAGCCTGGTTGACTTGGGCACTGATGCCTACAGCAGCCCATCAGCTTGGCAC